CTGACATTTGTTTGTTCACGGTAGATCCACAGCAGTTCCAGGGGACAGCCAGATCCCCCGTAACAGCACAGGGGCTCACGATGGCAAAGGTGTCAAGAGTCCTGGCGCCTATGGATGCTGTTTTGTGAGAGCAGACACATAAACACATCTGAATTTCTGGACTTAGCACTGATTGGAAACCTACGTCCTGAGCAATCAACCCAATCCAACCCCCAGACAATGAAGCAACATGAAATAAATGTTGGTGTGCATTATTCATCCGACTCAGTCCCATCTTCATCTCCCATTAGCGGCATGGTGACCAGTGGCTAGTGGCCAGGAGGCACTCAGGAAGCCAGCACCTCTTAGCAGGGCTCTGCGCCCACTGGAACCGGTGGCAGGGCACGTGGTACCTGGCTGCTGTCTCGTGCCGAGATCCTTCCCCATCCCACAGACCCGTTAATCACTTGGACCAGAGACAGGCAAGAGGCAGACAAGGAGCTGAGGCTGGATTTGTGTCCCTGGTCCTCAGTCCTCAAGCCACGGAGCTGATCACAAGCTAGATGGAAACACGCACCTCACTGAGACTCCAGGTCAAATCACCGCAACCCCTCAATTTTGTGAAGGATAAGCAAACGAGTACGATCTTTGACACCTGCTGCTCCAAGCAGAGAAGGGGAAGTTTAGGCCACGGAGAAATCAATGTAGTTTGTACAAAAGTGGGTTTTTTTCCCTGTCTTTAAATTCACCTGGAAGACAGCTAATGCTGTCTAGCAACCAGACATGACAGGTACTGCAGTTCAAGACCAAGAAAGAACATTTTGAAGGACCTAGAAGAGATGTTAAGAAAGAGGGCATAGAAATTGCAATGGCTATTGAGCGAAAAATAGCACTACGTGCAACTTTTACACAGAGTGTGTGTACACATATGCATACGAGTAGGGGGGGTGTGTATGAACTCCTCCTGCAGTAACGGGCTCGTGCATGACTTACTCATCCCGGGGTCAGGTAGGAAGGAGGTAGAATACGTGTGTGTGTATGACCGCTACAGCGGTTGCTTTCCCAATAAACCTCTGTCCCAGGGACTTTGATCAGACCTGTTGCCTGTGCTCTGCTAAGCACTGCAAAACAGATGCTAAGAAGACAGCGGCATTGACAGTGATAAGCACGGTCCCCGCCTCTCTGCAAGAGTCCAAGCTCTAGCCGATTCTGAGTACTGATACCAGGTGCAGCTCCAGTTCTGCTTTTTGATATCAGCAAGGACAGAGGTAAAGGCAGGAGGGAGAGGAGACATTTGCAAAGATACTTGCACAGTATCTGCAAAGTTGTTTTCAGAAAAAGTAGTATTCTGGCAAAAATCCTGTTCGGCAGAGTTGGGCTCTGCATTGCTTACGGACTGGTGAGGAAAACAAATCAAGAGAAGTAAAAAAAGCACCTGTTTAAACAAAGGTGGAGAAGGAGGAAGAAAGGGCCATCTGGAATGAAGCCAGTCTCGGCACAGCCGCTTCTGGCACTGCACAGGGCACTGGTAACACCGAACTGCTGTGCGGAATTTCTGCATTCGTTCTGGTCCCGTTAACCTGCACGTGAAGCACGGAGCAGGCTCTCAGCAGCCTGCCTTGCTGGCAGATCTCCTCCGGTGCATTACGGAGAGTGTTTGCTCTTAACCAAAAGGACATGCAATGCTTGTGTCTTTGCAATGCCTCACAGAGGGGACTTGCTGAGACTTCAGCGTTACTCTGGAATTTCAAAGTTGAAATTTAAACACGTTTTCCAAATCCCTCCCTTTAAACCACCACAAATCCCAACCTTGCTGCAAGGTCTGGTCTGGAGAACTTTCAGGGCTGTAGCCAAATCCAGACCCTCAGCCCCCCACCTCCCCTCCCAGACCTTCCACTCCTAAGCCTGACTTTGCACTTGGCCATCACACTCCTGCAGTCAGCTCTAGTGAGGGTCTGTGGAGATCTACCTGTCTATACAGGGACATAGCACTGCCAAGCTTGAAGATCACAAGCTGGAGTTCCTTAAATCATGAGGTTTGATTTTTAAAAAGCAGCGATAGATGTTGAATTTTCACATACCCTTCGGTTATTGAATTGCCCTTGCATCTCCTTGCTGTCTGACAAAGACCCTATTCACTCTCTGGTAGCTCATTAGTGGAGAGGGTTCAACCCTGGGGCACCAGGACAGAAGCTAATCTGTGAGATACACAGCAGGGTAAATTCACTTTACATCCACGTAAAGTGCAGAATCAGCCAAGACCTTATTGCTCAACTACATCTGTGTGCAGTAGATGATGCTCGGTGGGGTCAGTCTCCACGCAGGACCAGAAGTCCTCATCCCATACCAATGGCTGCACGATGCTGCTGGAGGGGAATCCAGTGCTGGAAGAAATCAATGCCAGCTACACAGTTCAGACACACTCTCTCTGTAAGAGTTTGCTTCTTCTCTCTCCTCCAAGGTAATCTGCTGTCACAAAGTCCAAACACACACCACAGTACCCAGATTTGTGATTTATATTTTATTTTTCATTCTTTTTACAAGCAAGAAAAAAATCCTTAGATTAAAACAATCAGAGTTAATCAGACACCCCAAAGAATTCACCAGGAAATAGTTGTCGGGATGAGCGGCATGGCATGGGCTGCGGTTAGTCCTAAAATCCAACCTGAGATCTGTCCCAGCACCAATATCCTGCGCCTGCTGGGACGTGACTTTCCAGGTGATGCATGCCCCACCATACCAGAAGCAATAAAGCAGCAGCCCTGCTGTCCTAGGGCATCTCGCACCAGTGGGATCCCCGTGGGCTCAAACAGTGGACAGTCAGGGAGCAGACCAAGTCCTTGGAGGAATGAGAGCAGAAGAGGGAGTAATCTGGAGAGCAAATAATGTGACCCAAATTAACAACTCTGGTATGCTAACAGCTAGGGGGCCCAGGCTCTCACTAAGGACTGTTTCTAAACTAAAACACTAAAAACCAAAAGTGTTCCTCTAGTTTGATAACCTTGTTTTACTTCAGCCCTTCCACAGAAAGAGAGACTCTCCGTACCCAAACGGAGTAAGCCGAAACTAGTCCCATGAATTCTGCTTCAAAGTTCTTCCGAACAGCGCAAACCATCTATGAGCAGTGTCACTCAGCGGGCAGGCACTACACTGGCCCAGACAGCCCTGCAGAGAGTCCCAGAAAACGCACACAACTAGTCCTTCACAGCACGGACACACGCTAATCACTTCATGTCCTGCCTACAGGGCAATCCAGCAAAGACTACATTGCAAAGTCCAGAAAACAGAGGGCAGAGACTAAAGACCCTGGAGGCCAAGGCAGTTCCAGACACAGTCCTAGATGAAGGGAAGATGCTGAATCAGAGATACACAGGGCTCCTATGGGACAGAGAGAGGTGGCCGGGTTGCAGGGGAAACATCACAAGGCTGCTCGGTCTGTAAGGGGGCTGACGAAGGGACTCGCACCTACCTCAGATGCAGAAGACATTATAGTCAGCCAGGGCCTGCTCCTCTGCAACAGGAGAGGAGAGATTTAAGTTAACCTTGCACAGAGCCAAGTGCAAACACCTAGACAGCCCTGGCACCCCACGGTTCCAACACTGACCTGGATGGTAGTAGTCATAGACCCTAACATGACCTGGTTTCAGGTTGGTCACCCCAATCACCTGCTCCAGATGCAGGACATATGTCTCAGACTTATGGCTCAGCTGGGGAAGAAAAGCAAATGACAGTTTACTTATGAGCTGTTCTTTTTATTCCTCACCTAAATTTGATCCTACTGATAGGCAATAACAGCTCTGTGGAGTCAAAGGCAGGACTTCAAGATGAATCTTGAATATCCTGCTCTCCTAGCCCAGTCCTGGATTCTCCACACAAATCTGCCGCTGCCCTCCACTCCTGCAGCTCCTCTAGTAGCACACACAAACCTTGTCCAAGTAGATGGCAACACCTCCGTGTGTTTTCTCAGTTCTTCTCACAGAGTGCCAATGTTGCAGCTAGGACAGGAGAGGAGGGGAAAAAATTTAGTTGGGTCTTTTGAAAAGTAAGTATAAGACATCCCAACGATGTTCATCTGAGCTTGAGTGGGCAGGTTCTCATTCACCCAATTCCAAACTTATTTTGGGCTCTTACCCCTCCAGGCTGATCTCCCTGCAGGGCCACTCAGCTCTTGCAAAACCCAAGGACAGGAAACCTAGGCTACTTAGCTGTCAAGGATATGCTGGGCAAATTGGGTCAGAAGGATCACCACCCTCAAGGCACAAAGAGCGAGCTGACAGTACGTGTTCATGTTTGCTGTGTGGCAGGGGGGAAGGGACGGTGAGACTGCTCAAGACAGAGACAGGCAACACCTTCCTATGCAACCTCTCCCTCTCTTTGGGCATAGATGGTCAAACTGACACCACATCACCATCCTGATTCCAGGTCTCTTACAGCCATCCCAGATCCTGGAGCCAAGATATATCCGGACAGGAGGGACACCTCCACGATCACCATGTTGGAAATGGCTCTCGTCCCAGTGTACCTGGGGGAGAAGGTCAAAAAGAGAGTCTCTCCCAGCTTGCCCTTCCCTCCACCACCATCCCCTGTGTGCAGGACCCAGAGCCAGGCAGCCCAGCCAGGACTGGGACCAAGGCAGTCACTGCTCCCTCTCGCAGCAGGCAGATGATGGCTGCACTGCTCTGAGCATCCCCACTCTGAGGTGATGACTTGTACTCCTCTCCCTAGCAAGAACAAAAGCCCTTGGAAACATTTCCCCCTCCCCAGAGACACTTGTATCTTTGCATCTCTGTCTTCCATCTGGACCTTCTGCCGAAACTGCCTGGTGCCTCCATTGCAGCCAAGAAGCACCCCTCAGCTCTTCAGCCATGCCTGGCTCTCCTTCCCAAGTGGGGCAATGTCTTTAGAGTCACCTGACATTGACATAGACAGTAACAGAGTGTGGATCGTCCTCGGTGCAATTGACTGGCTCGGTTTTCACTCGCAAGGCAAAGGATGTGGAGACCTGTGGAGAGGGCGTGTTGTACCTCAGCACCATCTGCAGAAAGAGACAAAAAGAATAAGACATGGATAATTTGTTCGATATCATCTATCATACCTTTTTTTCCACTGACTACTCTAATCCTCAAGATACATACTCCAGGCAGTGACTGGATAAACCACATGCAGTGAGCACACTCATCCCAGTACCCAGAAGAAAGGTCACTCAGATTGGAAACCTTCCATGATCCTTCCAGCTGGAGCTCCTTCTCCTCACCCTTCCCCCCGAGACAGTGCAAGTCGAGCACACCGCAGTAGGACCACTATACAACATTTCCATCCTCCAGTACTCTGAGAACCATGGAAGCGTCGCTGTTCTCACATTTGGACACGTTCTGTCTCCGAGTCTCCTCCAGCACACAGGTTTATTGCATTGGGATAATGCAATTGGGATAATGCAATTGGGATAATGCAATAAATCCCAACAGGTTGGGATTAAAGCACAGTGAATGCACATTGCCTTGCACAGAGCTGCAACGGAGAGTTTTGGTTTTGCTAAGATGATGAGCAGAGGTTTGTCACAGCAGGGTCTGTGGGAACCTACCCGGGTAAAGACACAACAGCTGCCGTGGGCCTGCACCGAGAACTTGCCCGGGACTCCTGGCAGTGCTGCCTCCTGCACCAACAGCCGGTTCTGGTAGGAGACTTGGAACTTCTTCCCAAAGCCTCTCTGGGACCTCACCCTCACTTCTGCAGCCCCTTTCGTGCTGTACGTCAGCGCTGCATACTTAGCCAAGGCCTGCAAGGCGACTACTGTGTCCTGAAAAGGAAGAAACAATTCCATTTGCAGCTCTGAGACCCAAAGACACTTGAACTCACCCTCCTGAGGACCTTCATCTACAAGGCTCCTCTCCTCAAAGCGTTCCCACTTGCGTATATTGAGCATATATTGCGCAGAGGTTCTTTCTCAAGCAACATCCCCTTCCCTGGCGACTACTGTGTCCTGAAAAGGAAGAAACAATTCCATTTGCAGCTCTGAGACCCAAAGACACTTGAATTCGCCCTCCTGAGGACCTTCATCTACACAGGCTCCTCTCCTCAAAGCATTCCCACTTGCGTATATTGTTCATATATCGCGCAGAGGTTCTTTCTCAAGCAACATCACCTTCCCTGGCCATGAGTTACCTGTGTTGAGGCAAACCCTCCATAGGCATTCTGCTGCCTGGTGAGCCAGGCCACGATGCCAGAGGCTGTGGTGAGATCAGACCCTGTGACGTTGGGCTTGCAGAGCAGGGCCAGGAGGACATAGGCTGTCAGCTCCACGTCCACAGACAGCGGCTGTGACCAAGGGCTGGTGCTGGGTCTGGGCTTGGATGAGGTCTGGCTCCAATGGATCTGCCCACCTGGGAAAGGAAGGGAGCAGATGAGATTGAGGGATGTCAGGAAAGAAATCCTGAGGCCTAGGAGGGACAGTGGCTTGTATCTGCAAAGACGATCGAGTCTTTGCCTCTTGGCTGGGTCATCATGTCACTGGGTGAACTGTAATCCCACATATTTTGCAATACCCAACACTCCATGTTACACACCAAGGTGATACGCAAAAACTAATATGCCAATCCTCTGCATAGACATTACCTCCCAGACATCCAACTTCTCCATCATCCCATTTGCCAGGTCCACTCACTACCTGGCACAACCTTGCCACCCACTAGCCAGTCCTGGGGGTCAGGGACTAACAAGAATCAGGGTAGCTTGCCAGCTTGTTTCCCTCTCTGGCACCTTGCAGTCCTGCATAAGAAAGCCCACTTCTCTCAGAGCCCAACTTCCATTTCAGGTACCAGACAAGGGCGAGAGATTTGAAGGAAATTGGCACCCACACCACAGTATTGCCAGCGCATATCTCGAGTTCATAGACTGGCTGTCTAAAAACTCTCTTTGATAAAGGACCTAGAGGGTAAGGCTATGGTCCTTCCTGGTTGCATGTCACCAAGGGCTCAGAAAGGTCACTCATCCCTTCTCTGATGTTCACCTGGCACTGAGGTTCCCGTACCTGCTCTGATTGCCTTTCGATCAAGCATGTCGAGTAGCTCTTGCGTGCGTTGAGAGTCCTTAGCCAGGGCAAAGGTGTAGGCCAGCAGAGCCTGGGTGTAAGTGCTGGCAGCTTTGGGAACGGAAGGAGCGATGCAGCCCAGAGCCTTGCGTACCACTGTACTCTGCAGAGAAGAGTTTACACGGGTGTCGGTCACAGACAAACACACACGAGGCAGGCAAACACTGAGACACAAGCAGAAGGATGCATCAGCATATGCCAGCACAGAAAGCACCCCATCCATTCACCCAGGTGCCTCTGTGTTCGAGCCTGCGCTCTTCTCTTTGTATAAGTGCCACCCCAGTAAGCAGTGTCTCCAGTCTTTGGTGCAAGGTGCTTGACTGACCCCTGCCCTCAAGCCGGTCAGGGGTTTTGGCAGTGCTCTCTCAATGAAATGAATGCCCTCACTGCTGGAATAACACCATCACGTCTTCCTTTCCAAGTCTGAACACAAGCGCAAAACTACACAATTGCAAATGCTTACACACAGCCTGCTGACCAAGATTACTGTGTTCAATTCACCTCTACCGTGCCTCACAAGGTCACCAGGATTTCCAGTTTCCCCTGGAACACCAGTACTGCTGTTGGCAAGAGGCAGCAAACCCACTGATCTCAGCAGCATTGTACTCCAGCATTCACCTATGCTACTCCAAGCACGAGCCAAAGGCTCGCAGCGGTTGCCTGTCCCATACGTGTGCATCTACAGCACATTGCGGTTTCCCCTCTTCCAGCAGCCTCTTGGTTAAGTACAGCAAGGATCACACGAGGGCCACATTAAAGATTTATTCTGACATGTGACATGCTCCTCACCTCTTTCTTTCACCTAGGAAAGAGAAAAGGTAATGCCTGTGTCATCTTAGTGCTCTCTGGATGGTGGAGTACCATTGCTAGACGCAGCCACCAATTCTTGGAAATGCATATAGTATCTACTCACGGAGTACCAAAAGGTCCCAGGATCCAACTGCTGCTTTTTGGTTGCTGTCTCTGTAGAAACACTAAGCTAAGCTTCCACCATTTCAGTAAGTCCTACTTTTCTGTGTGCTGCTCTTAAATATAATAACTGCAAGCACCACAGTAACTTTTCTATTCTGTAATTGAATAGAGCTAAGTAGAGATTACAGCAAGTTCGTGAATTTGTTCAGAGGCTCCTTTATTATTCCCTTTCCTTCTTAAATCTCTCACTATCCCAGACAGTTAAAATAGAGGTAACAGCACGAGCATTTGCACAACTACCAAACTTCACGTGAAAACACTTGATGTACCACCTGTGAAGTACTGACTGTTACGATACAGCTAAATACCTTGCCTAGGAATGGTCTGACATGTATTATAACGCGTCTGGCTCTGGTGAAACTGAGAGTGCCAGTCTACTGGAAGTGTTTTCACACTTACTGTGCTCATCCTGGTGTTGACACCAGTCCTAAGTGCATGCTATACAGAAGCACTCAGCCTCCGTGGGAGCAGTCATGTGTCAGCTAAGAAACTGCTCCCCTACAACATGCCATTTGTTTCTCCAGCCGACATAAATAATCTGTTTTGTTCCAAGAGATTAATTTCCAACACAGGGTGGGAGTAGAGGGTTGTTTGTCTCTACCTAGATTTTTTGTCATGCAAACCATGCTTTAATATTGGTTCGTTCAGGACAGTGTAAAATATCTCCAACCTTTTCCCTGTACTTTAAACCCTAATGACTTTCATGAGCCTTTTAGGCATGTTTGTAAAGGAAAGTAGGATCTATTCTGAACATCTTGAGTGCAGTAGCCCTTGCAGGGCATCCTCAAACTCCTTCTCAGAATTCTGGCCTCCAGTGAGTGCGCATTCTTTGTAAAAACATTTATAACCCACTCCAGGGGACACTTTCCCTGAGCGCTATGGCAAGCTTTGTGTTTCCCACTTCATCCTTTCACAGACCTACCCAGTGTATTCCTTCACTGGGGCTAAGATAACTCTTTGAGACTTGTATTTTCACCTATTCATTGTTACTTTTGAGTGTCTTTCATTGTCATGACCATTTTGTCTAAAAACAATGGTTTATGCATGTATGTCCAATTGAATAACTGCCCGGTTACTTTCACATCAACAAATCTGCTGCTGCAACGAAGCATTCCTCGCTCCATGGACAATCTTCTGAGCTAACAACACTGTTGCCATCTTCTCTGGAGCACGAGGAATTCCATGAGGTCTCCTACCTTGTGGTAGTCTAGAATTCCTATATCGCCACTGTCAGAGCACTCAGTCACCCTTTGTGGATTCATTCTGGACAGAGTGGTTTCCACTAGCTCATCATGTAAATTGCTTTGAGGTCCTGTTTGTCTTCCTTTAAGGATTTTACTCATGGATTTGGAGCACAGTTTGGTCTCTTCTCAGTAACTCTTTGCTTTCCTTCCCAAATGACAAAATTGGTTCTGAAGACCTACAACAAACTCTTCCTTTTTGTCCTTTTGTTTCATTCTGCTGCAGAGCACAGGATGTGTCAAATATTTGTCATTCAGTTTCATGAAAAGCCTCTTCCCCAAAAGTCAGTCAAAACTCAGACAGTTCATGGAATTACCAAATGATAGAATAATTCAGAGTGGGAGGGATCTCAGAAGGTCTCTAATCCAACCTCCTGTTCAAAGCAGGGTTAGCTATGAGATCAGACCAGGTTGCTCAGGGTTTAACCAGTCAGGTCTTGAAAACCTCCAACGATGAGGACAACTAAACCTCTCTAGGCAACTTGTTCCAACACTTAATTGTCCTTATGGTGAAAAAAAGGTGACCTGAAGGACATCTCCTGCCAGAAAGAAGGTTAATTTCCATCTGTCTCCCTTTTTTTCCTAAGCCCATTGCTGTCAGTTGCAGTGAAAAGCACTACTCCTTCACTTACTTCTCTTATTTTCAGAGAACTTTGCTTCTCAAAGTCTATAGCAACTGCATTTCTCCATCAAGTTGATTGTATTTTTTTATTTGCCAGTACCACAGAGTCTAGTAATTAGATATGATCCTTACCACTTGTAAGAGTACCCTCTTATCATTATAAACTTAGGTGTGCAATTCCAACTGACCTACAGCACTCCTTTTCCCGGACGTCCATTTTTTGTGAAGCTAAAACATATTTAAAATATCATTATGTCTATTTACTTGACTGTGGGAGCAGCTACACTCACCTCTCCTCCCTAACAACTCACCATCAGCTGTGTAGGGGTAGCAAGGGGATGGGAGGATGAGGCGGG